CTGTGACTTGGCAAGCCTTACAAAGGGCCTCTCCACCCCAGATGTGGCCAGAAGCCCTCTGCACTGTGCCACTCAACAGGGACCTCCTGATGATGCTGGGGTGTACCTCAGTGTCCCTTTCCATAAGGAAGAGGGGTCACGATTAACCAACATCTGTGAAGCCCTTGCTGTGTGTCACCTAAATTCTTTATAAACATTCTAGATGCATCCCACTTTACATTTGGGGAAACTGAGGCTCAGAGTGAATCCATCATTTACCCAAAGAAACAGACTGAGAAGCAGAGTCTGGACTCTAGCCTGGCCTGCATGAACTTGCTGTGATCGTGCTGCTTCCTGACTTCCAAGTAACCTGTCAGCCCTACCTGCTCCCATTCTGTGACTTCCCAGTCCTCAGGTGACACCAAAAGAGCCTCCCAGATGCTGGGTGGTGGAGCACGCACAGACCCTGGGTGTCCCGCCTACCTTTCTGCACTGGTGTGGGCACAAAGAGGCTGTTATCCCAGTCTGGCTCTGCCCCGAGGAAGCTGGTAGCAGGCCATGAGCCAGCAGGGGCCCGGATCATCCTTCTTGACACTCCGCCTGCAGGCCAAGATGGAGCCTCTAGACCCTCTGTTCACCTGATCCCTCTCCCTGGGGGTTGGGGTGGGGAGCCAGGGGTTCTCACTGGTGTGGGAGCCAGGGATGAACCAAAGGCAGCCATTCTCCAGCGTGGCATCCTCCAGCGCCATCCACAGGCCCAGCATCCGGCCCAGGGGCTCCGTGTACAGGAACCAGGTGTCCTGGTGAGGGGAGACTGCGACAGACCCGCCTGGAGCTGAAGAGCCTAACCCTTTGCTCTATCCCACCTCATCTTGACCCTCTTCCCACTCCACCATCCTCCCAGACTTCCTGTTCTGAGAATCTTCCACTTCTTGACCCAGGGACTCTGAGCAGAGATTTTACCTCTTAAAGCTTTCATTTCTTCAACTGTAAAGTGGCCCCAACAATAACCTCCCTGAAAGGGCTGCTGGAGGGTTCCACAGGACAGTGTATGAAAAGTGCTTAGGACAGGGCTGCACACCCTAATTGCTAAAAAGTAGCTGCTACCATTGAATTCCAGCCAGGTGACTAAATCCACCCTTGTCTGTCTTTCTTTCTTCCTTTCTTTCTTTTTTCTTTTTTTTTTTTCTGTGCTGGGGATGGAATTCAGGGTCTTGCCTCGGCTAGGCAAGTGGTAAAGACCACTGAGCTACACCCTGGCCCTAAAGCCACCATTCTTTACCAGAGATGAGCAGACTCCAGCCACCAGATAGCCCACCCAGTGGTGTAAGTTTGGAAAGTTGGGGTTGGAGAGGGGATACCTATGACCAAGCATCCTGTTGTTGTTGTTGTTTAAAGAGACAGTTTTGCTGTGTTGCCCAGGGCAGCCCTGAGTTTCTGGGCTCAAGCAATCCTTCCACCTCAGCCTCCAGAGTCACTGGGATTACAAGCAAGTGCCACCATGCCTGACAGTAGTGAGTGAGTGAGTGTGTGCATGTGTGTGTGCGTGTGTGTGTGTGTGTATTTGATTTCCTTTATTTCACACTGTCTGAAAACCATCTGTGTTAGTAATCTATATTTTTAACCTGCTAAGGGTTGCTGTCAGATTTAGAAATCTGTGTGCCAGGGGCTCCAGGGTTCCCTAACAATCCCCTGTTCTGGGAAGGAAAGGAAGGTGGCTCCTCCTCCCCTGGCCCGAGCTTCGTGCCCACAGGTAATGCAGTAAGTACTTTCCCTTCCTGCAAAGACCTGACCACCATGATATTCCAGACTTCCTGCCCATGGTCGCTGCTGGGCCCCACAGCTGCTCACAGCTTACCTTCACCACCAAAGTGAGGTTGCTGCAAGATAGGGGAAGAGTCTGGTGAGAACGGATGAGAACAGGGAGGAGCAGGGCTTGATCTGAGTCTTATAGGATGCTCCCACCCTGGGTACCAGCTAGTGAGCCCCTACTGTGAGCCAGGCCCAGGAGGGAAGCAGAAGGAAAGCCACCTGCCCAGCAGGGGGTGCACAGTCTGCCTGGGAGACAGCGAGCACTAGCCTAACAACGAGGTCATGAAGCAGAACCAGGAAAGGGCAGCATTTGGCCAGGGGTTGGCTCAGAGGTTAGCCCCCAAGTCAGAGCTGGGTCCCTCTTTTCCTCAGGGAGCTAGAAGGCTTTTTAGAGGAGGTGGCACTGTACTTGGGAGCTGAGAGCAGAGCATCTCAGTAGTCAAAGAGGGCAGGAGGGACTCTTGGGGATCCCTTTTCTTCATACCACCTAATTCTAATAGAGCACAAACTCAGTACCAGGTACCCACTTCACATGTGCTCTGGCCAACTCAACACTGATAACCCAGCAGCTTTGGCCCACTATGGGGAGGGGCTTCCTATGAGAAGCCTGCCAGTTTTACAAAGGGTCAAGTAAACTGAGGCCTGGGAAGGACACATTGCTCACCTTAAAGATGTACATGCTCTGCACCACCACAGGCATCTGGAGGCCCAGACTTCTGGCCAAGGCCTGTAAGGGGGCAGAGTCACAGTGCAGCCTGCCCACATACACCCCTATCTGTCCCCACTTGCCCGTCCCCACCTCTGCTCACCTGCACCTTGGGGGAATGTGTGACACTCCTGAAGACAGGGTCATGGGCGTGCAGAGCTGTGAGACAGAGGCCTGCTGATGGGCCAGTCTCAGCCTCCATGTGTCCCTCCCACCCTGAGAACTGGACTCAGGCTTCACTTTGACACTTTCAACTATTTTAGGTGCTTTAAACTTTATGCTTTTTATAACCAAGTAATGGGCCCCAAAGACCCCTTCATCCCACCCAGCCCCATCCCACCATGACCTTATCTTGGACATTCTGGCTATCTGGGAACCTCACTCCAGCCCTAACTCCCACTCCTCAGGGAGGACGAAGGATTCCAAGGGGACTCTTAGTTGGCAGCAGCTTCAATACTTCCACTTCCTCTATGTGATCTCAGGTGACTACTATTTCTCTCTGTAAGTCTTGGTCTCCTCCACTGTAAAGTGAGGAGGAGAAGAGCTGCCCACCTCCCAGGGCTTCTAGGGGAGCTAATGAACATGGGCAGCAGGCACAGTCATCAGCGGTCTTTGTGGTTTTTGTTGTTTTATCTGCAGTACTAAGGATTGAACTTGGGGGTGCTCTACCACTGAGCTACATGCCCAGCCCTTTTTATTTCTGAAATAAGGTCTCACTGAATTGCTCATATTGGCCTCAACTTGCAATCCTCCTGCCTCAGCCTCCCAAGTCACAGGGATTACAGGTGTGTGCCAGGGATTATTTGCTATTTGGGTGGGGGGGTACCAGGGATTGAACTCAGGCACTCGCCCACTGGACCACACCCCCAGCCCTATTTTGTATTTTATTTAGAGACATGGCCTCACTGAGTTGCTTAGCACCTCACTTTAGCTGAAGCTGGCTTTGAACTCGTGATTCTCCTCTCTTAGTTTCTCAAGCCGCTAGGATTACAGGTATGTGCCATTGTGCCCAACTGCTGTTATTACAAAAAAGTAAGTTTTGAATGCACTTAATGCCACTGAATGAAATACTTTAAAATAGTTATGGTGATTGGAGGCTGGATTTGTGGCTTAGTGGTAGAGCCCTCTCCTAGCATATGTGAGGCATAGGTTCAATCCTCAGTACCACTAAAAAATAAAAAAATAAAACAAAGGTATCATGTCTACCTACAACTAAAATATATTTTAAATAGTTATGGTGACAAATTTTATGTCACATGAATTTTATCACAACTTGTTTACAAAGCCACCATGCTATAACTTCAGGTTTAAAAACAAGGAGTCCACAAAAATAATTACAACGTGATCCTGAGGGAAAAAAGTGAAAATTTCTACCCTTGGTTCTGGGGTCTCAGAGTAGGAGTAATTTCAATATATCAGCTGCCCCTCAAGAAGGCTCCAGGAATCAACAGGTCCCAGGAATCCTCCATGCCTGGGAGAGTAGGTTGTGGAGAAGACTGCACATACCCTCTGTTGGGGTCTCAAGTGGACCCCTCTTCCCAGTGTGGTGGTAGAAGTGCCATGTGATTAGCATTACACAACGTCAAAGACCACGACCCAAGGGGAGCCTGCAGCCAGAAAGGCGACTTGCCCAACCCTTAACTCAGTATGGATTTCACTTCGGCTTCTCAGCTCTTCAGGCCATTTCCCATCTATGTCCTGCACTCCCAGGTTTCTGCTCACCATGACCAATTTTGTTGACTGATTTCTCTGGAGGCACCAAGATATTTCCTGTGGCACAGAGAACAGGTAAAAGCAAAAGAACTGCAGTGCAGCCTCCCTCAGGCAGCTGGCCTAAGTGCCCTGCCCTCCCAGCCCTGCAGGGCAGACACCTGGATCCAGCAACCTCCCAGGGAGCTCCCACATCTCTGGGGACCCAGCTCCAAACCTTTATTGTCCAAAACACCTTTCTCAAAGAAGAATCGAATCTTGTCACCACTGCTCAAGAAATAGTCTATGCTGTCCTGTGGAAAGGGACATGGGAGAGAAAGAGAGAGCATCCCAGGGTCAGAGCAGGGGCTTCCCATGCCCATGGGCTACAGATCCCCAGTGACATCTTGGACATGTCCACTGAGGCACAGAGAGCGGCTAGGAGCCCCATGTGCCTGTAAGCAGAATTCAAAGCTACAAGCATCGGATTTTTCAGAAACCTCTTATTAGATTCCACTTAACTTATTACAATGATGCTACATCCAGATACACTCACTATAAATTGAAAACATTAGAAGTGCACTTAATACACCTAGCCCACAGAACATCTTAGCTTTCTCCAGTCCCCTCATGGGACACATACATTAGTTCACAGTGGGGCAGAGCTATCTAGTCCAAAACCTATTTTACAAGTGTAAGTGTTCAACATCTTGTTAATTTATCAAGTACTATGCTGAAAGTGAAAAACAGAAAGGTTGTCTGGCATGGGAGACAGATGGTGAACACAGTATCTTTGCTTCCCATGATCAGGTGGCAGACTGGGAGCTGTGACTCCCTGCAACCACCCAGCATCAGGAGAGAGTATGATATTGCGTGGTATCAGTCCTAGAAAAGATCAAAATTAAAAACTCAAAGTATTGTTCCTACTGAATGAATGTACATCTAAAATCCTAAGTCGAACCATTGTAAGTTAAGGATCATCTGGGCCCTTTCTTCTTGCATTCCTCCTGCCACAATAATCTACTGGCCTCTGGAGCATTCTCACAAGGCAGATTTGGGGTACCAGTTTCAGCCCTCTTTCTCCTCAGGACCCTTGAATGGCAGGTCTCTGGCGGCTTTGCTTTCCTGGGATGCAAGGCTTCTAGCTGCTGTAGTTTTCTCTGTTGCCACTAGATGGCAGGAGCTCCTTAGTATGAGTGTGAGTGGCCTGGACCAGAGCTCAGCTGCCCTGCAGGAAGGCTCCGACTATGTAGGGTTGAGATAACTGGATGGGAGAACCACTTGTCCGTCTCAGACTGTGCTGAGTCTTGGGAAACAGCATGTTCTGAGTTTGGGTGCAGGGATAAGACACACAGGCAGCCCTTTAAAATCTCAGGGCTCTCTCTGGGATGCTGGCCACAAGGAGGCCCTTTGTGGCAGGAGAATCTGAGGAAGTACAATAGAGCAGTGCACAGCACCAGTTGGTATCAGACAGCTGACTTCAAATCCTGGCTCTACCAGTTATTAACTATGGTTTGGACAAATGATGGAAGCCTCACTTTCCCTCCCTTCCAGTGGAAACAATAACCATATCCACCTTGTAAATTCATAGTGACAGGAGTAAGGAGTGGAGCCTGGCATGTGGGAGCCTGCACCTGATCTGTTATCAGAAGGAGCCATGGAGTCTGGGGTTGTGGCTCAGTGGTGGAGCACTTGCGTAGCAAGTGTGAGGCACTAGGTTTGATTCTCAGCACCACATAAAAATAAATGAATAAAATAAAGGTCCATCAACAACTAAAAATACATATTATATAAAAATATTTTAAAAGGAGGAGTCATGGCTTTAGGTCCTTCCATCCAGGAAGCTCCTTTGGCTGGGGACTGATCCCCCATCGAAGACCACATTCCATCCCCACCTACCCCATGCACCCACCTGGGCTCGAAGCTGTTCCTCGTGTTGGGTGGAAAATTCTATGCGGCAGTGGGGAGGGACATCCATCTCGGCCATGATCTCACCAATCCTTTGTTTCATAGCCTCACACTCGTCCACAGACAAGAATCCTTCCAGCACCAGGAATCCATCCTCCTGGAACTGCAGGCAGGAATGAGGCTCAGGCTTCCCTCTGCATGCTTCCCCTTATGAACTGTATTTAATCTCCCCACCAAACCCCAAATGTCCGAAGTTGAGACCAATGTCCTATTCATTGCTCTGTCCCCTGCCCCTGCCGTCGTGTCTGGTGCCCTGTGAAGAACAATTGGCTACTTGGATGTTAGGAATGGAAGGGGAAGGGGAGGTTGTCCTGTACTTGCCCTCCAGTGGGCTGAGCCACATACAGCTGCATCCGTGTATCCTGCCAATGTCCATTCAACATCTACTGTGTAGGAGACACAGCTTTAGGAGCTGTTATGAGCAAGCCAGCTGCGGTACCTGCCCTCACAGAGTTTATAGTCTAGTAAAGGAGGCCAGGCATGGTGGTGCATTCCTATAATCGCAGAGAGTTGAGAGGCTGATGCAAGAGGATCTCAAGTCCAAGGTCAGCCTCAGCAATTTAGTGAGATCTAAGCAACTTAGTGAGACCCTATCTGTAAATAAAAATTAAAATGGTTGGGATGTGGCTCAGTGGTTAAGCACCCCTGGGTTCAATCCCTGGTGCTAAAAAAAATAAAAAAATGGAGAACAACATTACACCAACCATCCCATGGGGAAGCACACGATCATAAATGCTGAGTGCAGGGAAAGAGGGGGCAGGCTTTGAGAGCTAAGAGCAGAAGTATGTAATGTAAATGAGATGGGGGGCTGGGGATGTAGCTCAGTTGGTAAAGTGTTTGGCTTGCATGCACAAGGCCCTGGGTCCAATCCCCAGCACCTCAAAAAAAGAAAAGAAATGAGATGGGAGTCTTTGGCAGCAGCTCTGAGGGAATGGCATTTAAAGGGGCCTAAAGGATATTGGGAGGGGAAGAGATGACAAAGAACACTCCAGATAGAGGAAGCAGGATGTGCGAAGACTCTGAGCACATGAGGACAGGCAGAATCAGGAAGGGATGCAGCACAGAGTGAGGGCAGAATGGAAGGGAACAGGATGGTGGCAGGGGCGGGCCAGACTGGGAGCGGGCTTTCTCCTGAGTGTGGGTGGAAGTTAAGGCAAATAGCCTACTCTGACTCGCCTTGAGTCCTTCTTAGGAGGTTTTGTAACAGGCATCTAAGTCTTCTTTGGAACCCACCACAGTGTCAATTTCCAATTACTGACAGCCCCCCACCCCCACACCAACCCTGATGGATATCCAGTGTGGGTTGTCATATACCAGGTACTGCAATATTCATGACACCCACTACAAGCCCTTCTGTCTCTGGGAAAGTCTGTACTTTAGAAATTGGTGTTAGGCTGGAAATTGCCTCCCTGGGAAATGGGACATCCATGGCAAACTGTGCACATGCTTGATCCAGTAACCACTCCTCATGAGATCAGGCAATGGAGCCTGGTGCAGTGGTACATGTCTATAACCCATGTGATTTGGGAGGTTAAGGCAGGAGAATTTCAATTTCCCCATCCCATGGGGAAGCACAGGATCATAAATGCTGAGTGCAGGGAAAGAGGGGGCAGGCTTTGAGAGCTAAGAGCAGAAGTATGTAATGGAAATGAGATGGGGGCTGGGGATGTAGCAAGGCCCTAAGTAATGTGGAAAGATCTTGTCTCAAAAAATACAAGGGGCCAGAGATGTGGCTCAGTGGTAGAGTGCTCCTGGGTTCAATTCTCAGTACCTACCCCTGGCAAAAAATATTAGGGAATAGAGGAGCAAAGACATATGTGTGTAGGTATTCACTAAGTCTTGTCTGATGAAAACTTACATTTGAATAGTTAATGATTACCTTAGTATCAAGGGATTAGTTTAACAAAGTATGGTTTCCCTGTCTGGAACACAAAACAGCTGATAAAGAAGCCCTGTGGTCACCTGGATGCTTGACTGGCCCGCATGAGGTCCTCCCTTCAATCCCCAGAACCATAAAAATCATGTAGAAAAATAGTTAGTGACTTGGGAATATGTTCCTGATATACTCTAAGAAAAGGGAAAAGTTGGCCAGGGATGAGTATTTGGTGGCCATGACAACTTGGACCAATGGTTTTCTCTCTGACCCTGAAAGTACTAAATGGGGCTAAGGGCTTTTTTTTTCTTTTTCTTTTTCTTTTTGTGGTGCTGGGGATTGAACCAGGGCCTTGTGCATACAAGAAAAGCACACTCCACCAACTGAGCTGTATCTCCAGCCCCGTGTGGGCCTATTTAGAAAACAGGCTAGAGCTCCATCCCAGGCTGGGATGGACTTTTTTTTCTTGCAGTGCTGGGGATGGAAGCCAGGGCCTCACATATGCTCAGCTAGCTCTTACCATTGAGTACAGCTCTGCCCCAGGACAGAGTTTGAAACAAGGCCTCTAGGGCTGGATACCAATACGAACAGCCTCCATCTGCAATTCCTGGATGATTATCTTAAAAGTCTGTGTGCTCTAATTCCCACAAGTTAGCCTTTTGAATTTGGACTGAGAACTGGGAGGACAACCTCCTGCCTGGCTACTTGCTGGCCAGTCCCCATCCCTCTGGGCCTTGCCTCCACACCACAGGCAGCCAGGCCAGCTGAACTGGCTGATCAGAATGCTTTATCGGTTTTGAGCCCCCCCCCCCCCCCCACCAAAAAAAAAAAAACATGCCCACGCACAGTGCACACAGCCCCACCTTATCCCAGTCCTGTAATCTGGATACCCCAGGGCTGTGTGTACAGAAGTTAGGTCTTGTGGTTGGGAACTGAAACCCCACTGTGGACTTCAGTGTCCCTTTCTGTGAAATGACAGGGAGTGTTGAGTTCCCAAGGGGCTACTGGAGATCTGGACCACCCCCACACACTTTTGTAGGACCCTCCCAGTACCCAGCCCAGTAGACCCCTACCTACCTTCTGGAGCTGCAAGGGGCTCAGGCAGGCCATGAAAGGGGCTCAGGCAGGCCAAGAAAATGGCTCAGGGAACCAGAGGCTCTGGGTGTGGCTCCAGGGCTGGGGAGGAGAAAGTTCAGGAAGGGAGGGTGGCCACAGCAGAAGGCCCAGGAGGACTTAACCCTTCCCTACCCAGAGAGTAGCAATCCTACCACTCAGCCCTCCCTGCAAACATAGGCAGCCTGCACCCTCCACCCTGGGCCCCAGCCCTTTCTCCCTGCTCCCTTCTTCCCTCTTCACAACTCATCCAGGATTAGCCCTTTCCTATCTCCTTCAGGGTATTTCAGGGCTCCCTGGGAGTGTTCTGGGAGTGTCAGGCAGAGAGTGGGCTGGGAGGACAACACTGTCTAGGTCCACCACTAGCTGTGACTCTGACAAAGGCCTGTCCCTCTCTGAATCTGAAGTGAAGAAAGTGAGACCCTTGGCATTAACATCTCTGTTGCAAGGTGTGTCTGGGGTGGCTTTGCATTCAAGGTGGAAGAGGTCCTGGGGGGACAGTCTGGGCCCCTCCCAGCTCTGGTGTGAACTGCTCCCAGTCTTGGGAAGACTATGGAAGGGAGTTGAGGGATGTGAAGCTCAGAGGAAGGCAGAGAGAAGGACAACCTAAGAGGAAGGGGGCTGGAGAGTGGGGCCTGGGTCTTCAGAATGAGGGAGATCAGGGCTCCTGTTTCCCATCCTCAGACCCAAGATGTTTACCATCTCAAGTTAGGCTTGGCAGGGAGGTCAGAACTTGCCCGCCAGCCTGGTAGCTGACAAGGCCACTCTGGAAAACAAGCCCCTGGCCTTCCCAGAAATGATGCTTTGAATGACGAAGGGACAGAGTGTTTCAGGAGGGAGTGAGTGCAGGGATACTGTTCAGCCCTCAAGAGCCTTGGCCTCAGGTCAAGACTTGTTTGCTGGGCCACTGTGCTGGGAATGGCTGCTTTGTCCAAGCGGGGCAGGCTTCTGGAAGGTCAGGGGAGGTGAGCCCGCTGGGCTTCTGGGGCTGGTGGGAGAAGCTCAGGGGGTCTAG